CATAAAAATGTTTTTCAAACATGTTTAAGTCATTAAAAACACTTGGTGTTCGCCCAAACCAAAAACCAAGCCATCCGGCGTTCGGGTTTCAGAAACCGGCGTTCGGCTCCCGGTTATCGGCTAGGGTTTTTGGCGTCCGAACCAACCAAGTGGTTTTCAACTTTTTATGATTGGTTTTCACTCTTTGGCATGTTTAAACGGTTCTCCAACAAAAACACCTTGAAAACCATCTCTCGCTTTTGGTCGTTTGACAAAAATCATTCAAAACGGCATAAACTCGGCTAGCCGTGGTTTTCACTCAAATGACGTGGTTTTTAAAGTGTCTTACTTGATTTCTTAGCCAAATACATCAAACAAGTATTCTAAACACTTGGTTTTTATTTTGGAGAACTTTGATTTTTTCGGTCGGTTTTCGCATCGGTTGGCTAGGCCGTGGTTAAGGCAAAAACCATGGGTTCCTGACTAACCACCCACCCAGCGATGGGAAGATCTTCCCATCGATGGGTAAGCGGTCCCTTAGCCAAACAAATTTCCAGAACCATGCCAAACAGCGATGGGAAGTTCTACCCATCGATGTTCAAGCCTTGGTGCAAAATTAACACAAGGCAGAACGACCTTGCCCAGCGATGGGAAACCTGTCCCATCGATGGGAACCCAGCGATGGTAAGGGTATACCATCGATGGGAAGGCATGACCGTTGGTGGTCATTAAAGGTTGATTCTTTCCTTGTTTGGAAGTCAACCTCCCACCCAGCGATGGGAAGCTTGTACCCATCGATGGGTAGGCGACCGTTGACTTCAAAACTGAAGGAAAATTGGCTTACCAGCGATGGTTGAGTCTAAACATCGATGGGAAGCCAATATTCTGCAGATCCCAAATTTTTTCAATCCCATAAATCAAGCTAATCACCCCTTTAATGTATTGGTCCGTTGGAGCCTAATTTTGCACTATAAAAAGGGGTGTTTGGGNGCTTTCTAGAGCCATTTGTGTGTGAAGGTTGAGTTGTTCTTGAGCGTACTTAGTTTACTCATAATCTACTCTACAAGAGAGTCTCGTTCTTGAGTGTACTTGTGTTCTTAGACACGTTGAGAGAAAGTATTTCTCTCGTTGATTCAAAGGAAGGTCTGTTTCCTTTGAAGGATTCGTTGAGGTTCGTGTGACTCGAACTCTCAAGTTGTAACGGTTTGTTAAGCACCCGCAAGCTTAACGAGATAGTAGTGTAGCTCGAGAGAGTCTCTCGGGAGGCTGGATTAGCCACAAGTTGTGGTGAACCAGGGTAAAATTCGGTGCGCCTTTTACTCTTCTCTTTACTTCTCGTTTAATTTTTAATTCCTGCGATTTCTCCGATCAAACGCTATTCACCTCCCCTCTAGCGTTGGTCTATTATTCTAACACAAATATCTTGTGTGTGTTTGTGTATTGGAACTATTTTCAAAGAGCTAATTTACCAAACATTTTTAGCAATCAGCCAACTCATCCTGTCGGTCAAATCAGCTAAACTAAACAATCATTCATAACAGCTGGCGCAAATTGCCAACAGCCATCAGCCGTCAGCCAACATCCAAACAAGGCCAAGGCCTGTTTGGAAATAGCATTAGCGTTTTGAAAAGGTTATGCACGAGCAGCATTTAGCATTTTCAAAGTAATCTGCTGTTAAGGAATGTAGTAGGGTTTGTCGTTAACGGGCTCATTCTTGTTGGGCTCGTAATTAGGTCATGGTCTTGTAGCTATTATAAATAAGTTCACTAAAATTCTTGTAGAGTGTCTACATCTGCAGTGTTAAAATTTTATCCAAAATACTAATACTAATTTCTAATGTTCTTCTCAAACAGACCCATAATAGAGCCTCCTTGGCATAAACATCTAAAAACTAGTGTAAGAAACCATGGAGTATAAATCTTGAGCAGATATAAACTTATTTGCTATCCTTGGAGGTGTAGTTCAACCTTTTTTGTAGCAAATATTCCGTATAAAACTGTGTTTCCACAAAAAAAAAATATGGTCAAGTGGTCTTTCTTAAAATACGAGGTTATATGTTTGAATATTGAACAGTTACTAGATTTTAATTGAGTTAATAATGATAAAAAAAACCTTTAGAAAAATACTAAATTAAGAGTAAAACATAGAAAATATATCAAAGTAAGAGCTCCATATTTTTACTCTTATTTAAAATGATTTCTGTGGTAAATTCTTACGTGTTTCTAAAATCCATACTCACTTTATGGATCTTACAGCATTGATATTATAAAAGATGTACTCTGCCTTTTGCAAGAAAAACTTGTCAATCTATGAAATGTGTGAGCATGTTCATATTTCACATGTGGAATTTAAGACCACAGAAGAACAACTCGATTTCTTAAAAACTTTTGTCTATAATTAAAAGCTAGTTTATTTAATTAAATATTTCCAGAAAATAAGGAAGGCCTAATTAGGGCTTATAAATTCTACTCTCTTTGTCTCATAATTATCTTCTTTCTTTTCTATTTGGATAATTGGATTGTACCAAAACTTTCTTCCTCTTTAATTTCCTTTTAAGAAAATAAATATATGCTTCATTCATGCATACCGATTATCTTATCTCTACAAAAATCACAACTACCAACATTTTATTTTTATTAAAAATCGTATCAAGTCAAACCCGAAAGATAATTCCGGTCTATTACTACCTCCGTTATTGAGTACTTTTCCAGTTTTACCAACTTTGACTAAAAAAAATTAAAAATAGACAAATACACGTAGATACAGCCAATAAGAATAAGTTTCAAAAGGACGAGTTTATCCCGTGAAAACTGAAAAGCATGGGCCATGGAAATGGCAAACTTTTAATCCCTCTGTCTCTATGCTCTAACAATTATTTACCAACTTTGTTTTTTTTATTTATTGTCTACTCGTCCCTTCCAAAATACCAGTAAAAAAAGTTTTCATTTAACTATTTTTAGAGTCAAAATTGAAAGAAAAAACTTTGACTACAAAATTTAAAAAGTATAACGAATGATAATAGGGAGTACAACTTTAATATTAATAGATTTATCTTGATTTTTATAGATAATAAATGTATATAATCAAAGTTTCACAAAATTCAAATCAAATCTTATGAGAAAGGAGTGATGGCAAAGAAACATATGGACCACAGTCCACACCAATGCATTACACAGAGCCAACCTCCAAAAGTCATACTTCATCGTCTCTAAATTATTGCCATCACATAATTAATGGAGATCTTTTTGAAACTGGAATGAGATATGGTTATATATCTAATTTTTGTTTGTTTCTATGTTTTTATTGATCACTAAAAAAACAATTCTTATTACTGGAATGGGTTGTTGTTGTTGTATGTTTTTATTGATCATTAAAAAACAATTCTTATTACTTTTATTTTGCAACTTTTTTGATGTACTTTAATTTAAACGGTGTAAATTATAATTTTTATTTTTATACCATTTTATAATTAAAATGATTTTCCAAATGATAATAAGATTTTACATGTTGTTTGGAGAGCGACATCCAATGTGGGTGGGATGTAGGGAGTACATAATTTCAATCAATTACATTATTTTAATTTAGAAGTAAAGAGGGATGAGAAAAAGAAAAAAATATATTTTATCAAAAAAAATTTATAAAATAAGAGTAATAAGAATTACTCCGTATTTATTTATTGAAATGGTCAATAAAATCATACAAACAAACAAAAATTACATAACTATATGGGGATTGCGAAGTGAAACCCTTTCATTTTTTAAATAATTTTATTTACAAATTGATACATCAATAAGAAATAAAAATTACATGTTAAAAATTAAATAAAAAGTTCTATAAAATAAAAAAGATGTCAAGAATATGTTATTTTATTAAATAATCAGTAAAAACACACAAACAATAAAATGTTATCAAGAGAAGAGAGAAAATAAAATTGTAACCAAAATGAAGCCATGTATCAAAGGAGAAGGACACAATATAAAGTACAAAGTGTGAAATATTGGTAACACATGTGGGACAATGACAACTTACACCCCACTAACCCCACCATATGTTTCGCGATACGATAAATTGGGAATATAGATCTTTACGAGATATTAACACACCCAATAAGTAAGCGTGTGGCGATAAAAAAGGAATGGGTTCTTGCACAATACGAAAAAATGGATATTGTATTCCAAAAATTATACTCACTCCCTAAAAAAAATTTGGTCAAACTGTAGCACCTTTTGAAGTAATAATTAAATATTATAAAAATTTTATATTTTAAAACTATATTTTAAAATACACTCTCTTTTACTAAATTTATATCATAACTAAACATACGTTTTTCATAATTTACTGTCAAAGAGTGTCATAATTTGACAAAAAAAGTTAAATTGTGACAATTTTTTAGGGATATAGAGAGTATTCTAAAATAAAGAGTATATAAGATTTATGTTTATATTTTGATTAATTACATTAATACAAAATGTCAGTATGATAAAAAATTTCACGTTGATATTTTTTGATAACATAAATCATCAATCTCGTACTTACATTGATACCAAAAAATTAAATCTAATTGACTAAAAATATTAAAATTGAACAAATATACAAAGACGAAAATAATATTTTCTATAGAAAGTGGAGACTACCCCTAACATGTGCAAAAAAGAAAAAAAGAAAAGTCATGAAAAGCATATGTATTCTTTATGGTCATTGTTACGAGTGCCAATATATCTTCTTTGTCACTCAGGGCAAGTATGGCCAACAATTTTTTTATACGGAGTATATAGTAAACTAATTTGATGCCCGCATAAAAAAACGAAATGCCTCCAATAAAAAGTAAATTTTAAAACAAATATTTTTCGTTCAAATGAAAGAAATTAAATGTGAAATATTTAAAACAACAACTAACAACAATCAAGTAGAATCCAACGGAAGTATGGTTTAGGGACGGTGTGTGTACGCAGATCTTATCCTAACTCAGAAGCAGGGGCGGACCCAGAACATTTGAACCGTGGGGTCGAAATTTAGAAAATTTATATCCAACCGTCACGCTTCTAACAATAAATAAACAGTATTCTATAATACATAACATTAAAGTTTATATATGTTATTGAAAATACTAACTAAAAATAGTTCTACATTGCAAATATGAAATACATCTTTGGATTCTCACTCAATTCGTTCTTTTTAAATCTTGGTGTTTTTTTAAAATACCTTTGCATCCTATATTAAAATTTAAATAATTAAAAACACTATAAACTTAAAACATAACCTAATTATATTAACATATTCACAAATCACAATCTTAAAAAAATAAACGAATTCAATCCCTATTCTGCTATTCACAGTAACAAATTTATAACAATAAATTAAAATTTTCATAATTTACAAATAAAAAAAGAAATATCCAATTTAGATAATTAGATTCAATAATGTAAGAGAAAAAAGCTGGCAAAGTAGAAATGGAAGATGAAGATTTGTTCGAGAAATTGGGGATGTCATCTTCCAAAAAATAATATATACTCATTCCTTTGCATCCTATATCCTATATTCAAATTTAAATAATTAAAAACATGATAAACTTAAAACATAACCTAATTATTATATTAACATATTCACAAATCACAATCTTAAAAAAATAAACGAATTCAATTCTCTATTCTGCTATTCACAATAACAAATTTATAATAATAAATTAAAATTTTCACAATTTACAAATAAAAAAGAAATATTCAATTTAGATAATTAGATTCAATTATGTAAGAAAAAAAATCTGGCAAAGTAGAAATGGAAGATGAAGATTTGTTTGAAAAAATCTAGCAAATTAGAAATAGAAGATGAAGATTTGTTCGAGAAATTGAGGGTGTCATCTCCTAAAAAATAATATATACTCACTTCTTTGCATCCTATATTTAAATTTAAATAATAAAAAACATTATAAACTTAAAACATAACCTAATTACATTAACATATTAAAAATCACAATCTTAAAAAAGACAATAACAAATTTATAACAATAAATTAAGATTTTTATAATTTACAAATAAAAAAAGAAATATTCTATTTAGATAATTAGATTCAATTATGTTAGAAAAAAAATCCGGCAAAGTATTAATGGAAGATTTGAAGATTTGTTCTTGAAATTGGGGGTGTCATCTTCCAAAAAATAATGAATTAAGATTTGAAGATTTATTCTTGAAATTGGGGGTGTCATCTTCCAAAAAATAATGAATAGTCATTCCTACGATAAGTTTCAAACTCAGGACCGCCCACCCCAGTGCAAAACACGGAGCATACCACTCCTTCAGCGGGTACAAGT